AAATAATTAAGTTAATTTAGTTCTAAAGAAATGAAATGACACTCGCGCCCATCTCTAGTCCATCCGTCGACATCGGTTGCGTTTATCGAATTCCTATTGGTCAGAATTCAAACTGCAGCCCTGTTATGAATGGAGCGTGAGTTGGACTATTCTATCATGTGCGTCGCCTGAGGGTATTCGTTACATTGACTCCTAATTTCCAATTAAAAGAACGACACTATTTTTAACCGAACTTTATTTAATAAATATGTAGTATACAATTTCTGATTTTCTAAATATTTTATAACGCCTAAAAATGTATGTACCGTGGAATTTTCGTGAATTATCACGTACATTTCCGATGCATACCCGACACGCCACTGCGTCATGGATAATGTATCTAGGTTTATGAATGACATATCTATGTTCAAGGTTAAAGACACAAAGTCCGCTCTCTGATTATTTATAAGTAAACTATTGAAGCAGTAGTGAAAAGAAGATAGGAAGTATATATTCACAAAATGTAAAGATCAATATTAATTCTTGGAGAGCACCACTATATAGAGGACGATTTCACTTTAATTACGAAAATTGCAGGACTAGATTTATTACAAACAAAATAAGTAGAGTTTGCTCTATAAACTTTTTTCCTGCGACACTCAGTATTCGAGATACAGGGTGTTTAGTTGTAGTTTCCCCGGACCCGACAATATACATAACACGACACTTAAACGACTACCACACAAGGGCCTCATGGCCCTACTAAACATAACAAACGCGACACTCAGACTAAGACACTTCCCTACCCGCTGGAAAACAGCAAACATAATCCTTATCCCAAAACCCAACAAAGATCACACCATCCCATCCAACTACCGGCCCATTAGCCTGCTCCCGGCTATGAGCAAAGTGGTAGAAAAAATTATCCTAACCCGTCTAAGAACCCACTCCCAAGAACTGCAAGTCATTCCAGACGAGCAGTTCGCCTTCCGACCCAATCACTCCACTGAACTCCAAATCCTTCGCCTTACCGAGCACATCACGGCGGCCTTCAACAGGGGACAGTACACTGGTGCTGTCTTCCTGGACGTCGCAAAGGCCTTCGATACGGTTTGGCATGAAGGCCTACTGATGAAAATGCTCACCAACCAATATCCCATATCCTTTACCAAACTCATAAAATCCTACCTACACCACCGAAAATTCCGCATCCAAATCCAAGATTCCCTTTCCACCACCCGTCCCATGGAGGCCGGTGTCCCCCAGGGCACCGTCCTGTCCCCACACCTATACACCATTTACAACTCCGACATCCCACATCCCCCCAACACCAACATATACTTATACGCCGACGACCTGACAATCACATCCCAATCCGTAGATCCTAGATATTCCGTCTACCTCCTCCAAAGCTCCTTAGACCAACTTGAAACCTGGTGCAACAGGTGGAAAGTCAAAATTAATCCCAACAAAAGTTCGGCTATCCTTTTTACCAAACGAAAAATCCCACAAAACCTTGACAGACTGACACTATCCCAGGAACCCATCTCCTGGAATCGACAAACACGATACCTGGGCGTGACGATGGACCAGCGTCTCACGTGGAAACCGCACATCGTGGAGACGGTGGCGCGAGCGAAGACCACCAGGGCTAGGCTCTATCCCTTACTCAAAGGTGGAAACACCCTCAGTTTAAGGAATAAGCGAACGCTTATCAAGGTGGTACTTCAACCGCAGCTAACCTACGCCTCCACGGCGTGGGGTCACGCGGCAAAAAGCCACTTAAAGTCATTACAGGCTGTGGAAAACATAGCCCTCCGCACGGCCACCGACGCGCCCTGGTACGTAAGAAACACTGACATATTACGAGACTTACAATACACAAACGCTACACAGACAATAAGACAAAACGCGGAGAAACGATTTGACGTAGCCGCTAGACATGACAATCCCCTCCTCAGGCAAGCCGTTGACTACGTACCCGACGTGACCGACAAACACAAAAGACCTAGACACCAACTTTTTGACCCTGGGTGACCACCCCAATGACCCCCCCCCTGCCCGCTAACCTTTTCTGTTTCAGAGACAGCCAGGATCAAGAAACGAAGACAACGACACACACACACACACACACACACACCCCCCATACCCTCCTTAACCCTCCCCTCCCGCGCTAGCCTAAGGGCCACCTTAGCAAAGCGCATCCCAGGCTGCATAGCCGCACTACCCTACCCAACCATACCACACATAAACATGACACTACCCCCGGGGTTTACACAGACGAGCCGGCGAAGCAAGAAGAGCGCCAGAAGAAAGGGCCCTAGCCGGCGGGGCCCAGCCAGGACAAAAGGAGGTCCCACAAAGCGCCTACACCGGCCGCATTTGCGGTCGGGGTAGACGACGGATGGGGCCCACCTACGAAGGCTGTCCAGGCCTACACGAGATGAGGCAGGATAAAGAGGGATCAAATCATTGAGGCCAATTTCTAGCCATGGAATAATGGCGCGAGTTGTAGTTTACAAAATAATATATATTTTCTGCCATATCTTCATAATGCGCTGACGGAATTGAATGAAATTTAATAACCGTATTCACGTAATTGAACCTTTTATTGAATGTAATACATACTAACCTTGTGGCTTTAACCAGTGGCGGAGGTGACATCACATTTTCCCAAGAAAAAATACGCCACTGGTGATTTTTTGTGGAAATAATGTTAAATTCAGGTACAGTTACATTAAATGAATGAAAAGTGTTACTTGGTGTTTTTTAATAGTAGCAGCCGTTTAAGATATAATTTACTTATTTGCCGAACATAATGTGCAAATTTAGTTCACATATCTACTCATATTTCTGTAGCTTGCGCACAAAACTTAACAAGTCCACTGTAACAGATTTGAGAGAAATTATAAAATAATAAAGCATATGGGAATGAAATCAACTTATCACCAAAATATTATCAACATTATAATCTTAGTTTGGGTTTTATCTAAAAAATGGTTTGGACGCGTGAACTTTTGGTAAAGAAAGTATGGATTTGCAAAGCCCGATTTACCTACTAGGATTATAAAAGAGCACCTATAAACTTTTGCTCCAAAACTATCAAGGACTAGCTGTAAATCACTCTTGTGAACTAATTTTTAATATCAACCAAATTTTCTTAATTTTGGACTTATTGAGTTTTGCGCGCAAGCTACAGATTTGTCTAAAATCCATCTACAAAATTTGATTCTTTTGTTTGCATTATAAGTTGATAAACTTCAAGATGATCTTGTTTTAATATTATAACTAGCTTTGTTTTTTTTTATTCCTGATGCTGCAGTCCTTCTTGGGCTTATGAACACGAGACGAATTGTGGCAAAGAATAGAGGAAAATTGTAATCTCAGGTAATATCGTCATGATAAGTTCCTCTATAAATAGCCTGTCAAGTGTCAATGCGGAAGGACTTCGTTCTGAACAATTGTTGTAGGACTCATTACTTAATTACTTACTCGACCTATTTGCTAATGTTATTTTATTTAGTTTGATATTTTTTCCAGAATTAAAATTATTTCTACAAAAAACCGCAAGTGGCGTATTCTTTTCTTGGGAAAAGTTGGCGGACGCTTTAGTAGCACGTCACTGGTTAAAACCAGTGGTTTAACCATACCAAAAGCCCCTTGAAGAGGATTGATTCAAGTTTCCAAAGCGCACCTTCCGTTCGCTGTACGATCATTAGTTCATGGGATATCGATGATCAAAAAAAAAACTGTTCACTCAATAGCCAATATCTCAATGAAAAATAATCGTACAGAAAATAAAAAAATTACTCCGGCGTTGATTAAGCCAGAAAAAATTTTTCGAGCCCATGGACAGTTTTGAGTTTGTAAAATTTTTGCCTTGCATTATTTTTTGATTGTGCTGTGATGCTCAAAAAAATTTTTCATCAAGATTTTAAAACTAGAATCTTCAAGCTTCGAGATGCTTTTTTTTGTCAATTTTGTCAAATTTTGTCGAGATATTTTGATTTTTAGGCAAAAATTGACAGATAATAATAATAATAATAATATTTATTTTCCATAGAGACTTCAAAACAAAGTGTAGGAATAGTCAGTTAGTGTACAGTAACAATGTTTACATTAAGAAATTTTCAATCTCATACACACTTTTATCCACTAAGTAACGTTTTAACCTAGACTTAAATTTAAGTAAATTATCTATTTTTTGTATTTCCTCAGGTAAATGATTAAATACTTTGAGCCTAAATACAGATAGGGACTTCACAGAAATATTATAAATACAATGAGGTACATAAAATGTATCCTCTGTCTAGTGTCATATGTATGCAGAGCACCCACTTTGTTAAAATTATTCTTATTATTAAAAACAAAAATACACAACTCAAAGATATATAGACTAGAAAGTGTTAATATTCCATATTGTCTAAATATATCTCTAAAGGAATACTTGCTGGATACACCCGCCATATAAGTACCTCAAAACACGTTTTTGAGCCAAGAATACATTTTTAGCTGATACAGAACTACTCCAGAATATGATTCCATACCTTAGCCTACAACTCACTTGTGCATGGTACAAACTTATGATCGTCTCTATAGGTAACACACCTTTCAAATTTCTAAAAAGATAACAAAATGAATGCAATTTAGATATTAAATTATTGCAGTGTTCTTTCCAATTTAAACACTCATCTACCTTCAACCCTAGGAATTGTGCACTCTTACAACTAGAAATAGAGGTATCATAAATATTAACATTCAAATCCAAACAAGTTCTTTGCCAATTATGAAATCTTATAAAGTGGGTTTTAGTAATATTAAAATAAATGCAGGCTGTCAGCAAAATTTAGTTAGACAGAGGTTTACTTTTTTGTGGGAATTGAATATTTTGTAGAGGAAGATCTAATTTATCGGATTTGACATGAAAATTTTCCAGTTTTTATACAAGGTGGCCAAAAAATAATCGAATATGAAGTTCAGAAAATGTGGGAAACTCGAAATTTTTAAATGGAAACCCCTAATAACCCCTAACATATTCGCATTCTGCACTAAAATTGAGTGTAACTGTTAAAGTTTCCCTATAACCTAAACCCAGTCATTTTCATTTTATCTACAAATAAACATTTCCCTTTTCCTAAAAATGATGTTTCCACTTGTTTCGCACATTTTAGATTGGTCGTGACAGCTATGTAGCAATCAACATGACGACTGTTACAGGTTTTTAATTATCAAATTTATTTTAATAAATGTTCAAAATGTCTTCTTTCAGCTTAAAAATTTTTCACAGCCTCAGATTAGTTCCTTGTGGGTCGCTGCTCTAATACAATCCAGTGATAGATGCTCAAATGCTGGCCTTTCTCTATGCACTATTTTTTAGTCTCCCCGGATTCTTTTAGAGCAGCGACCCACAAGAACTAATTTGAAGGTATGAAAAATGTTTATAAGTTGAAAGAAGACATTTTCAACATTTATCAAAAAAATTTGATAATTAAAAACCTGTAACAGTTGTCATGTTGACTGTTACATATCTGTCACGGCCAACCTAAAATGTGCGAAACAAATGGAAACATCATTTTAGGAAAACCGAAATGTTTATTTGTAAATAAAATGAAAAGGACTAGTTTAAGGTATAGGGAAACTTTAACAAAGTTACACTCAATTTTAATGCAGAATGCGAATACGTTAAAAAAATTAGGGGTTTCCATTTAAAAATTTCCAGTTTTCCACATTTTCTGAACTTCATATTAGATCATTTTTTTGACCACCTTGTATAAAAACTGGAAAATTTTTATGTCAAATCCAATAAATTAGATCTTCCTCTACAAAATGTCCAATAGGCACAAGAAAATAAACCTGTGTTTCCGGGAAAACTAAATTTTGCTGACAGTCTGCGTCTGTCAATTTTTGCATAAAAATAAAAATATTTCGGAGTATGTTATATGTTTTCAACTTATAAATAAATGCTCTTTCCAAAAATGCAACATGCAGGGGGTTCCATTTAAAATAAGAAAGTTGGTATCAACTTCCGGTATAACCGGAAGTACGATGACCTTGAAAATATTTTAACTTGATAGGCCTTGAGCGGTTTCCCAGATATCCATAGATGGATTTCGTGGTGAGACACCCCGTATACATAAGAACAGAATAATCTGACTTATTGATTAAAAAAATTTCTGTAAAATACATATTTTATTTCAAATATCAAAAAATTACTACAGTCATCAAATATACACAGTAAAAACTCTTATTCACAAGTCTAAATTTAAAACAATAATATTTAAATCAGTTCTTTGTTTCTAGCTCCAATAACAATTTCGACTGAAGTCCTTTAAGGCCCTCATATGAAGCATTATGATTATATAAAACATTACTTAGTAATTTTTCACTATATGGTACATTTTGTACTTTCAATTGCTTTTCTAACCAGTCTTTTACTTGATGTATATTAAATTGATTAAAGACAGCCAATTCATGAAACAAATCAGAATGATCAAAATCATCTCGTATCTCACTAATATCATTATAATTAATAACATAATTGAGTTTATTATCTGCATACTGTATACTGAAAATGGATATGACCAAAATGTACTGATTTTTTGGCAAGGAATGAACCAGTTCAAAAAGTGTAGTAGTATCTTTTTTATTTAAGTCTTCAATAATGATCAAATTTAAGCAGCAACTTTTTAAACAACTTAATATACTTTCCCACTGACTTTTAAAATCGAGTTGAATTCCATACAATTCATGAATAAGTCCTGAATGGAAATGTCTTTTTAAAATATTAGCAACAAAGGTTTTTCCTACCCCTGATGGGCCAATGAAAGCTATTACTTTAATTTTATTTGCCCAATGACTTCGATGTTCTAAACTTCGGATGATAATACTGACAATACCTTTCTGATCATAAACTCTTTCTAACAAATCTTTTTGTAAGTTTTTTAACTGAATATCATTATTAACATATATAATATCACCTTGAAAATACCACAATCCAAAACATAACATAGTTAAAGAGAATAATGCTACTAAAACAAAATAATTACATCTCACTTCATTTTTCTTACATAAAATGGGACTAATATGGGTATCATTCTTTAAACATTCCTTCTCAGATAAATCTGCAGATCCAATATTAAATTTCCTTTTTTTTATTATCCCATCTAAGCTATTCAGTCTCTGCACTCTATAGTTGTCGCAATCGGTATCGATATCCATTTTTTCTACAACACCTAAATATTTTTCAGTTTTTGAAATATTGCAGATAGAATCTACATCCATAGGAACAATTTCGTCAGAGTTATAATTCAACTTCTGACATTTCTGTTGCGCTTGTGGGTTCAGTCTTATAATTGCATTACTCGCAGTATTAGGGCTACCCAATGTCAAGTCATTGGAGTGTAATTTTTCAATATTATGAAGCTGATTAGGTACACTTTGTCCTAAAAAATATTTTTAATGAAGCAGTAAAAAAAATTAAAACATTCAAAAAGGAAAAACTAACCAAATTTAGAAGAAATTACAGAATTGTGATATACTTCCTCAACAATCAGAATTGTCTTTTTCATTAGTGGCGCATTTCCACCAAGATTTGTAGGACCACAGTCTTGGATACATAAATTTTCTAAATTCAATCTATACAATTCCGATTCAGAATAAGACCTATTTAATTTTCCAGGCGTAGTCATCGTAAACACATCATGCAAATTTTACTTTCTAAAATAACTAAATTATCGTTTAAAAATTGCGAAATTGACACGTTATTACTTTATTCCAAATTTATCAATTAAACGTAAGTCAAAAAAAAACCGTTAAGTCCTTATCACAAAACAAAACATAACATAAAAAAGAAAAATAAGGAAATGAAAACTCAGGAAATGAGACAACACCATTGAAATAAATTTCGATGGACGACACTCGCGCCGCGTCATTATGCCATGGCAAGAAATTGGCCTCAATGATTTGGGTCTCCATGGATTTGGGATCGAAGGAGATTATCCCTCTTTATCCTGCTTCACCTCGTATAGACCTGGACAGCCTTCATAGGTGGGCCCCATCCGTCGTCTACACCGACCGCAAATGCGGCCGGTGTAGGCGCTTTGTGGGACCTCCTTTTGTCCTGGTTGGGCCCCGCCGGCTAGGGCCCTTTCTTCTGGCGCTCTTCTTGCTTCGCCGGCTCGTCTGTGTAAACACCGGGGGTGATGTCATGTTTGTGTGTCGTATGGTTGGGTAGGGTAGTGCCATGGTATATCATGGGGTAGTGTGGCTATGCAGCCTGGGATGCGCTTTGCTAAGGTGGCCCTTAGGCTAGCGCGTGAGAGAAGAGGTAAGGAGAGTATGGGGGTGTGTATGTGTGTGTGTGTGTGTGTGTCGTTGTCTTCGTTTCTTACGTCAAACCGTTTCTCCGCGTTTTGTCTTATTGTCTGTGTAGCGTTTGTGTATTGTAAGTCTCGTAATGAATAGAGCTATATATGTTTTATACTTATATATAATACTATGGTATATGTATATATACTTATGGTTATATTATAAGCCTTGGGCTTCGAGCATACCTACTAGAGGCAGCCTTCAATGCTAAATAAGCGAAGAGACGTGTGAGAGAGAAAACAAATAAAACTACAGGCTATCTCTCTCACTCCGTATTGTGAGGTGCGGGAGGGGAATCACAGGGTCTGATTCTCAAACAATAAAATTTACGGAGTGAGAGAGATAGCTAGTAGTTTTAATTGCTCTCTCTCGCACATCTGTTCGTTCATTCAGCATTGAGGCTGCCTCTAGTAGGTATATGCTCAAAGGCCTTGGGCAATGTCAAAGGTCGCTAAAAAGAGTAGGTTCGCAGTAAACTGCTGATCCCCTTCGCACCACTGTCGCGTGTGATGTCATTGATCTTATAAATGATTAACGTTCTCGTCTATTTGTTTTGATCTGTATGTTTGAAATGTCCCTATGTCCTGAATCATAAGGCTTTTTTTCGCGAGTGAAGTCGTATGTTGTAGTATGTGTAGTATGAGTGAATATTACGTTTTTGCGAGAATAGTCAGTCATTTAAACTACTATGTGACGTCACCAGTTTAGATCAAATGACTGAACTCTTCACCCTTCAGCTGAATATTCTGTTGGTATATTCAACTAGTATTGTCAGCTGGTAACTTAACCTTTTTCTTTTTGACATTTTGTTTGAATGAGTATAAAAATCGTTCAGCAAAATGATGGATTCTGATATGGTTGTGGAAGTGGCCAGTTTAAATTTAAACTTTAGAGGCACAGATGTTTTAGTAAACATAGACGTTGAAACAGCAAATATTTTACTTGATGGTGAGATTAATTTTTTATATGGGACATATTTGCAATCCACTTTGCTTCAGGATTATCCTCTTTTTTTTTGTGACCTAGGCCAGAGATAATATTGGTGGAATCATTTGTAATTCAAGTCTTTTTCGTATGAATTACATAAAAAACCGACCTAACCTTCCATTCTCTTACGATAACGATTATGTCGAATATTCGCATATCTTGCAACGTCAGAATCTACATACTTTTCACGCTTTTTAAATTTGCCACTTAAAAATATTCCAAAGAAAGCATTGATATATTCCTTCAGTTTTATTTGAAGCAAATACATATATTATATAGTGAGATATAACACCAATTCCCACAACACTAGATTACTGGAAGCAATAAATGATGACAAATTATGGTTACTGGTTAGAAGTTAAAAC